CATCGCGTTTATTTGAGTTGGACACACAATATATATATATATATATATATATATATATATATATATATATATATATACAGCAGTGAACTCCCACACCGTGTGACTAATCTCCATGAAAGTTGGCACATCTACGTGCTTTTTCACCCAGAAGGTTTATGTGATGATAATTTTGTTTAACTACATTAGATGGCGCTGCATATCAAAATTGCTTAATTTTAATTCAATTTCCATTCAAACCCAGCTCCACCTGGCCTTCATTGTTGCTGAGCGTTGCCGTGTGACGTAGGGCGAGGCACAGAGAGACAGAGAGACTGATGAAGACAGAGTTAGGCAGAGACAGGGAGATACAGAGTGAGAGGGATGGTAAGAGAAAGGGAGAGAGAGATGAAAAGGAGAACGTCTACCGGGTTCCGTTAGTATATTTATATAATTTTATATTTGAAAGTGTTTGTACATAAATGTTTATTACAGTCAGTTATTGTTGAGAAATGTGTATCAGTATCAATTAATATTTTATTGAATTCACACTGACAATATACTATTGCAATAAAAAATATAATAAACCTTTTTTATATTTACTGTATTTTAAGTATATGAAGTATTTTAAATACATATGTATTGAGCAAATAAAAACCTAATGTATGTTGAGTATAATAAATACGTATTTACACAGTTTTTGGCAAAGTATTAAATTTAAAGTATTTTGCCTAACCCTGCCGCCCTCTCTGCTGAACTCTCTACTGCGAGGATCTAACCGGGAACTCCATACTATCCATAGGAAGGTCTCTTGACCTTCACCTTTTAAATGCGACGTTCACCTCAAAATACGCAAAGTTAGCGCAAATTTAGCACTAACATAGTGAACTAGAATGTCTGAGTTCTTAATTCTATTTATTTCAATCCAGAAACTAACCTCAGCAAATAATCCTCCTTCGAGGTGGGCCAAAAAAACAAACAAACAAGGCTGATATTATCAATTTCACGAAAACTTTTGAGATTTTTATTGAGTGTTTGGTGATCGCGGGTGCGTCAACTGCTAATATAATTAGTCCGTGTGAAATGCACATTAAAGCCGTGATGTGGCGGTGTCCCTTCCCCACTAGAATGTGAGACACATTGCAGACCTATACTTCGCCTTTCGAGAATATCCCGCTTCTAAGTATTTCCCTCAGTTAGGCAGCGCCCCATCCGGGGCAAACTCTTCGCTTCCGATATGATGTGAGAGAGTGTAGTGCCGTAATTCACATTCCCTAGCCACTACGTGTTGGCTAACGTCAACTTCTGGGTGACGTCTGATGTATGATTCAAAGCTGTTCCTCTTCCGAACTTTATCCATTCATTTTGAATAATGTGAATGTTAACTGGCTGATTCTGGAATTAGCAATATTCGTCCTTTATAAGTAATATGTTCAACACTTTGTAAGCAAGTACAAATTCACCATTTATTTATACTCTATCGTGAGACTAGCTAAATGCCATTTTTATCCCTTAAAATTGATTTCTGTGATTTTTACTGAATATAAGGTTAAAGAGTTTCATAAAAAAGCTTGAAAATGTCAGAAAAAATACAGGTTTATGGTGTCTCCCGGAGTTTGCATCACTAGAGTTGCCATTAGGAAAACAATGGAATTCATGACATTCGAAAAATACGTCAGAGTAAATTGCTTGTTCTTATGTAACTAAGTAATAATAATAATAATAATAATAATAATAATAATAATATAAATTTTAAATTTGTTCTTAAATTTGTGTTATTAATATTAATATAAATGTTAATCGTATAACAAGGAAATAGTATATTAAGTAAACAACTAATAGAACATCTAGATAAATTACATTGCAACAATTTCAAGATAACAAAGTGACCATTTTTCTATGTCAAATTTCCCAGACGTTTCCAGGTTATCCAGGTCAATTTCTTTTGTTTTACATGAGAAAGTTTGCCACGTATTTCAAGGTATTTAAATAAAATATGAAATAAAGCATGGCTTTAGTCGATATGAAAATACTGATACTGATTGATCCCTTTGCATTCCAGATTCTGTCGCACTAACACAATGTGAGAGAGACAGGTTCTGCCATTCAAAATATATAATCTTTCCTTATCCATTTTTCAGCTCTTAGGTTGCTCCGTAAAAAAACAAAAATAACAGTATTTGCTTAATAAATAAAAATTTAGCCGTAAACTTATATTCGAGGGGTATGAAGGAGAATTCTTAGTTTTATAATTTATATTGTCTCAGAATTTTCCCTGACTTCCAACGATTCTTAAAAAAAATCCCTGACTTTTCCAAATCATTGAAATTCTCTGACTTTCTTCCATTTTTCAGAAAGTGGTCAACCGCAAGAAACTTAAGTTTCACTGCTAAAGAAGATTTTATTTCTTGGTCAAAGAAGATGAACTCTCAAACCAATCAGTTGCCAGATAGCTCATAGAGGAATTTGCCGCTTGCATTCTCTTATGTAGCGCGTAGCTCCCTGATGTAGTTCACAATTAGTCACAAAATGGATGTTTTTGAAGGACAATGTGAAATTACAATAGATTATTCGCCTCATTTGGCAGAAACAAAGAAGAATCTGTCAGGTCAACGGGACACATGTCGATATTCAGGACATGCCTCGCTTTTTCAGGACGTCTGGCAACCCCAAGCACAAGGTGCGACAGATGGAAAACTTGGGGATTTAACTAGTGTCTGGATACATTCAAAATTCCAAAAACTATATTTACGATATTTGTTTCATATAAAATGTGCTTAACGACTGGACTATGTAAATCACGTAAAATATTGTATTTTTTTCTGAGATTTTACGAACATCCTCTCTTTATTGCATGAATTCACAAAATGTTTTATTCCTATACATTTCTGTACTATTATGTGGGGTGCATATTTTCACAAATAAAACAAATCAAGCTGTTTTCAAACGATTTTATTAACAAAAACAACATTTAAAAACATAACAAGTAATTACAAAATCGCATAGCTCGCTTTCAGTTTGTACAAGCGTTACCGTATCCACTCACTAAATGGATAGTAAAATCCCGTTTTTACGGAAGACAGGTATAACTTACATCTGTATCAATGTTATTCCTGATCTTTTTAAGAAAGATACTAAACTAATAATACAAAATAAAGCTCTCATTAGATAACAGAATCAGTGAAATTACAGTCTCAAATGAAATACTGTCATTTCCGAAATATCGTCATTGTCCAGAAAGGATTCTTGAAGATTAAGCTCTTATTTATTTGTTTATTAGAAGCGACTTACGAAATTTATAACATAAAAAATCTCATGGGAGTGATAAAAAACACTCACGTCGATTTTTGCGTAATGACAATATTGCATTTAACGCATGACACGAAAGACACTGTGTTACCTATTGCAACAGACATCGAATTTCGAGAAAGAAAACCTATACTAGCCTAAAAGAAAATTGTTTATAATTTTCTTTCACTTCTAGATGTTTTCCTTATCTCATCAGGATGTAAATGAACTACGTATAGAATAACGAATATTTACAGCAGGCATTCAAAACAAAATGTAAACTCCAGTATAAAATAGACCTAGAATTGTGTAATTGATATGCAATTTAGCCGAACACCTGAGTATTGCGAAAGCATTAAAACATATCCAGATAACAAGGTCCAATTGGAATCTTAAAATGATATTTACAAGTTACAAATAAAAACACACACACAAGTACAACAACTTTCTAACCCTACGAAGTACAGACAGAAACAGTAGAAGGCAATAGAAGGAAATTTGGTTTCCAACTAGCTGTTCAGCTAATGGACAGATATGAAATAGAAACTTTTTAGATAAGTAGTGACAAAAGGAATAAATTAGAAATGGATATTAAAGTAAACACCTAAAATTCAACCTCAAATAAAGCATTAGAGAAAAGATAGTTGAATAAATGCAAGAAAAATATAGAAACACACATGTATATATAGTGACACACGCATGTGAAAAATCATTTTTAATATATACGGCGATTTTTCTTCCATTTCAATAATCCCTGGAAGCCTATATTCATATTTTCAAGCGAATATAGTACGAAGTATGAATATATAGCATGGAGTAAGAAAATCCGCGACCTAAGAAAAGAGTAAGGGAAACTGATTCTTCAGAACGGGTATTTATTCCCAAACTAAACAATATGTGATAGATGAAAAGAATTGAACAACAATTTCAGGTTAACATAAAGACAAAATTGTTCCGAAACTAGGAAACAGAAGGAAAGAATCAATAAATTAGGCAGAGAAACGTGAAATATCAAGAAACAATTTAAATGAACTTTAAATGAACTCTTGAAGAAATGAATAGTAAAAAGCAAGTAGAAAGAGAAATATTTCAGAAGGTATAAAAATTGGCGATAAAATAAAAGAAAATAAAAATACTATTCAAAGTGAATCATCACGAAACTCATCAATTAAAATCAGTGTCATCTGATCCACAAAAAGTTCAAATTTCAATTAACGGATAATTCGATTCATTCGGAATATTCAATTCGATATACAGAATTCAAATTACTTAATAATACGAATATATCAGACGAATCAGTCGAATCAAACAAATATATCAAATCGAGTTAGACGATAATTTTAATTAGTGTAATCGAAACACCAAAAACTAAATTTTTCGAAAATTTTAAGTATAATTGACTCCTCCTTGACATTGATTCTAATCTATTCAATGTTACTTTCATTACAATTTCGAAGATGAAATATTTCAAAAAAATATTTTCATTTTACTTCTTCTCCATACTTTAAGAAACGAATTGTAAAAAATAAGGTACAAAGGAAAAATACAGAAAGAGAAAAATAAAGAATGAAAAGAGAAAAACAAAGAATGAAAAGAGAAAAACAAAGAATGAAAAGAGAAAAACAAAGAATGAAAGGAGAAAAACAAAGAATGAAAAGAGAAAAACAAAGAATGAATCGAGAGAAATAAAGAACGAAAAGAGGAAAACGAAATAACTATCGTGCGAGCCCTGCGTCTCAGTTGTGTTCGCTGTGCTGCTTCGTCTCGAAGGAGTAATCCACTGTCTTGGAGCTGCGGTTGTGTGTCACGATCTGCGCATGCGCGGGCGCGTGCTCCGACGCGCCTCCTAGTGCGTCGCGCGGCCGCTGCGCGCGCTTGTGCTGCTGCTGCGAGTACCGCTCGGAGCGGCCGCTGTAGCCGCCACGGTGGTCGTCGTAGTTGCCACCGCTGCCGTAGCGCGCGCTGTGGTCGTAGTGGGAGGAAGGCCGCGACTCTTCGTGGTCATGCTCGTAATCGTCGTGGGGGCGGTGATTGTGGGCGTGGTCACGAGCGCGCTGCCGCTCTTGTTGCTGATAGCAAAATGCACAAAAGAATTAGCAAAGCCATTCAACTCAATTAAAATTGTACATGGATAAACTGAACGACTAAATTGATATAATTGATTGATTGGTGTTTTGATGGATTGTGTTGGATTGATTGATTGAGGCTTCAACTGCTAAAGTCATTAGTCCTGTAAGTGTAGTGCAAGTTACTTCCTCGTGACGTGGCGGTGATCTCCCCTCAATCCTGGTTTTCACCAATCAGGTATCTCCCACCAGCATGGCACCACCCAGCCAGGACACGCTGTGAGCTCCCAGACGACCTCCCGTAATACATGTTTCTGTAAGTGTGTGTATGGGTGAGAATAGGACAAGGAAGAGGAAGGAAAGATCGCGCGCGTTCCGTGATCTGTTTGTTAAGGTACTGCTTCGGCATTCGCCTGGTATTGATCGGAAAACTCGCAGAAAATTATCGATCAGAGCAGCCGACCACTAGAATTTTCCTCCAAACAGCGCGGAACTCGAAATAGCTGTATATCTAATGTCGAAAATACTACCTCCATCGGGAGTGGTACCCTGGTACCTCCTGGTCAGAGGCACTGCAGTGTCATCAATTGGTGTCCTGAGCCACCTCTCCAGGTCTGAAGGACCAAATGAGGACCGTACAAAAATAAGTTCACAAATAATTATGTTTTTTACCTTTCTCGCCCACTTTGTGACAACTTAGGAGCATCCCATTCCGTGAGATGAACGTTCCATTTGAATTTCCTCAAAATTTGAAGTCAATAGAAGTGCAGTTCATAAAGTGTAATTTTAAAAACATAAAAACCTGAGATGCATTTTTAAACATTAAAAATGATTAATACTTTTATTTCGAAATACAATAATTATAACAAACTCTGGGAATAAAGTTATTTTTTCCATCATCTCCCGCTCCAAACTTCTAAGCAGTTAAAAACGGTTTCAAACCAAAAGTGCAAAAGAAAATCGCATTTCACCCTCTTTCCAGAAAATGCCGCACCCAACGTGGAAGGGGGTGTCACCCAATGACGCATGGCGCTCCAGGCGCCCAAAGCCAAAGGATCACGTTCATAAAAGTACTTTCTGTAATTACTAGTCTTCAATATATCAATTGATTACGTCATACATATGAATAAATATCACAAATAAAAACCCGGTTGAGATGGCTCAATGTAGCAATTAATGTTACGTCGAGGCTCTAGAATTCGAGTCCCGTCGGTGATGGCAGGATTTTTGACAGTGGCTAGATGCCCATGGCAATTCATCCGCCGTCAGGAGGAGAATTCTGGCGACCAGCTGCTCTGATCGGTAGTTTTCCGTGGTTTCTCCCATCAACAACACGCGAATGCGGGAGCAGTATCCTACGTAACAGGCTACGGACCGCGCGTGGTCTTACCTTCCTCTTCCTTGCCCTATCCTCAGCCCGTTGCACTTACACGAACTACGCTACCACGCATGCCGGGAGACCTACTGCCCCACTGGTGGGAGATATCCGATTTGAAAATATCCTGTAAGCCGACCGAATCTCACCATCCTACTGGGGAAGATCACCGTCACCTCTCGCGATAAAAACATGCACTACACTTTTTGGAAAATTACCTTAGCTGATGACATGTCCGGAATCGATAATCAATCAATCGACAAATAAAAATAAATGGTTGGTGAACCATAAGTGGATATTTTATAAGATAAATTTATTAAATATGTTCCGAAGAGGACCGCCAGGTAGCATCTTCGCGTACGCGACTCTCTGTCACTACGCAGCGGCCAGAATTGACAAGGAATTATGATAGCGGTAGGGTTTAGGACACTTCACAGGGGTTGAACTAGCCCCTGAAAAGCAGCCAAGCTCGTTTTGCCGGAACACATTTCACATGAGATTGTCTGGAATCGAACCCGGGTCTTTCTGGTGAAAGGCAAGGGACTTTCGTTCTTAGGCGCGAGCTGGTCCGATTGCCCAGATGGCCCTAAGTGTATGTCAACGCCATGCTCATGTCTGTGTTCGCCTTGAGGAGAGCAGCGGCGCTCGGGGGGGGGGGGTACCTGCTTGGAGGGCTCGGCCAGGAAGTCGTCGAAGGACTCCGAGAAGCGGAAGCCCTCGTAGCCGGCGGCGGCGGGGGCGGGGCCGTGGGCGTGGGCGGGGCCGGCGCGCGCGTGGGCGGAGGCGGCGGGCGCGTGGGCGAAGGCGCTCGCCCGCAGCGTGGGCGGCAGCTCGAAGGGCGGCAGGGAAAAGGAGCCGCTCGCCTTGTCGCAGTCGTCCGTCGCGGACGCGTGGGGCTCGCGAGGGCGCCCGCGGCTCGAAGACTCTGCAACAAGACAAAACACTTTTGCTACTCGCTCATTCCAAGGGGCTTCGGAAGAAGAGAAAACTAATTACTTTCCCGCCCTTACAAAGGTACTTTCTAAGAAGAAAAATTTATGAAATCGTGCGCCGGGAAACGGCCTTAATATTCCTCTTAATGCCGAGCCCTGGTAACGAAGAAGTGGATAAACCCAGTTGCTAAATTTAGAAAAAACGTCCCCTAACATGTGGTGTAGCCAGAATCCATTTTTTGTGGGTCATTCATACCGAATAATCGACTGACTGCAAAATGTCTGTCCGGCCGTCTGTCAGTAAACAACTGAACAATGGATGTTCTCCAATATTTATATTCCTCGATCGATCTAAGTGAACTCGAGGCTTTGGGAATTTCAAACAGATATTTTGTTTTTTAAGCGTACGTTATAAGAAACCTCAAAATCATTTTCAAAATTTTCTCAGAAATAACACCAAATTTTTTTTAAAACTTTGCTCTCGGATAGTGTTAAGGACGCTTAAGAGAACGGTGCAGGTCTCATTTTCGTCGAAGTCCCTGATTAGAGAGCGCGAGTTCCATACCGTAGTTGTGCGTGCGGCCGCGAGAGGCGCTGGTGGCAGGCGAGTGGTGGTGGGTGCGGTAGCTGCCCGCCGGGGGGCGGCGCTCCCACGCGTACGAGCCCTTGTAGTCCGCGCCCGCGCCCGTCTTCATCCCGTACGGCACGCGGTTCGCTGAGGCACAACACGCAGGCACATGAGCGAATCCAAGAACCACACTTACCGTGGGTAACACCACGAGTGCTTTGGAAATTGGCGATAAATCCCCGACTCGCAAAGCGAGGGGATTTATCTAAGAACTTCCAAAACGAGTGGTATTTAATAGGACTATTCCACGAATGAAATTACGTCCATCAGAAATGCACCAAGAACTGAAAATAACTGAAAACTATATTAAAATCGAGGAGGTTAGGTTATGGTACGTATGCGGTTTATTGGACATCTAGATAGCGGTCCATACATACCGCCTCTAAGATAGATGAGTCACAGTTTATGATTGTCCAGTAGGGAAACACGACATCGGATAGAAAAAGCGATAAATGTTTTGAGATACATCGCCCCGATTGGGGCATTGTATGTCAAGTTTCTTGAGGATATTGTCTCTCAAACTGTATAATAGTGACCGCCCCTTGCATCCGTGTCGGGCGAGACCATTATGTATCCAGCGCACGCGCCCTGCCGAGGTCAACTTTCTTTTATGCATTAATTAGATTTTGTCTCGTCAATTCAGAAATTCAAAATCATGCTAATGTGTTCCATTGCGTTATGCACGGTACGCCCTGATATCATCCCACGCCCTGTTTCAGCGCAGCCGATATCAACAATATGGCGTCATGTGTGGATCACCCGAGTAATGACTATGTGGTCCGCAACCATTTTAACGCTTCTAGTTGTGGCCTGCGAGTCCTTGTAAGGTAGTCATCCGTGTACTATAAGATCATTGCCTTTCCTGCCCCCTGGGACCTATTATTATTATTATTATTATTATTATTATTATTATTATTATTATTATTATTATTATTATTATCATTATTGTTATTATTATTATTATTATTATTATTATTATTATTATTATTTAATTTTTACATAGATCAGTTCATGGAAATATTGCTTAATAAATACATCTCAACCTAACTTAATACTAACACTGAGGTTAAGGAAATCATAATGGCACCTCATAGATTCTATTCTAGAACTGAAATGAAGATACAAAATTATGATGTTTTTGATGCGACCAGAGTGAGTGGGTTACTTTTACAGAGGTTGAATGAAGATAAATTTTGGATGTGGTGAATATTAATTGCACCTCTGCCAAAGACAACGAAATGCGAGGTATACATGCACTCTGTGCAAAAACGCCGTCACGGCCGCGGCCGAGGTGTTTTGTTTGCGGCACTTTCCACTTTGCGCAGCCGCTCCGCCTCCGAAAGGCGACCGCTCTCTCCGGCGCCACCGTCGAAAAACGCGCGTTTCTTTCCCTCGTGGCCACTGCCGGCTGTCTCGTGTTGACAGCAGCCGAGGGAATGTGTTGACTGCTATTGGGAATCGGATTATAAGAAGAAATGTAGGAGCTTTCACTCCTCTCGGCGGTCAGTAATGGAATTCTGAGATTTCAATAAAACAGTATGAACTTGCAAGAATGGCCACTTTTTTGTATTGAATGTGACTAAAGCATTCTTACGGAGAAAGCAATTGGTTCTTTTATATCAAGGACAGAGATTCATTTGTTACTTGGGTGATACGAGTAATTAGTAGCCCCGTTTCTCCACTACCAGTGAGGTGTGTTTTGTAGGTTTTTCCTTGCGTCTTAGCAGGACGGAATTCTGCTCTCAGGACCTCACGAAGTTCTGCCAGAGCAGACCGTTTAAATTAACAGTCCGATACATGTCTTTAAGATAGCTTTAGCGTAATTTAGATACCGAGAGTTTTAAATACCGTTATCTACGGGAGTATTAGTAACTATTTCAGATGGGATATTTTAAAAATGAAAACAAATTGGATCACTTAATCAATCCATAATCACTTAATCGAATCCATGATGAATTAATTAATTGAATTCGGTGTAATAAAAAATGATACTTTAGTTACATCTAAAAATCATCGGTAATTGTCCTTGAAAATATTATTTTGCGGGATAAAAAATTATTGTAAATTTTGTAATGTCTCCAATTAACTGTAAAGAGAGAGCATTACAGTATGTTCTAACATCTCATATAGTCAAGAAGTCTGTCATTTGGCATTGACGTGACATTCACGTTTCAGCCTCATGTGTTCAAAAATTTAGCAACACGAAATTTTGCTTCGGATCTCCGGCGATTACTCGTTGACGAAGAGCAGAGCGTTATAAGCAGTCTACATTGCCATATGGGTCTGTTCCTAAGCGTTATGTTTATTTTCGTTCTGACGTCACAAAACGTTCTAACGTCGTACACATACTTATTGTTCTGATATCATCGGGACGCGGTGGAAGCCACGTTGCAAAACTAGGGTATTTTCTCTCTCACCGCCTATACACGTCGTCTAATTACCTAAGACCGTGTAACGACATTGCCCCACGAAACACTTTTTTTGTTTCTAGCGGAAAATGGTACGTAGACGTATTACATTATTTTATGAATACAGGAATATGTCAATTTATGCTTCCTTCATGACAGTCTCATTAAGACGCTGAAAGATGTTTTGTTTGGTAATTGGCCTGTAATAGGAGAACTTCGTTTAAATTTCCTCCTCTTCGTTTTCATTGGGATTTCGAGTGAAATGAGTTCGTATGTGAAATTAATGTGAAGGAACCTGACATTTTTTGTAAAAACGAGATTTTAGGCTTTGGAAAGAGAGGGAGTATTGCAAGAAGATTCAAAAATAGACCGGGTGAGAATGATAAGTCACTCGTAAATGTGGCTTGCAGCACGCACCTGGGGCCAGAAATCCCGACGGTGGCAGAATTTTCGTTACTACGTTAGGCAGACAAGTCTCGTGGTTTCTCTGATTAACACCGGCAAATGCCGGAGAAGTACCCTAACAAACGGGCCACGGATCGCGCGCGATATTTCCTACCCATCCACATCCGTCACACACACACACACACACACACACACACACACACACACACACACACACACTAACATACACTACACTACCGCACATGCAGGGAGGACGGTCGGGAGCTTAGAGCTTGGCCCGACTGCGTCGGTGCCTCGCTGGGGGGGAGATACCTAGATGGGGTAAACCCCGCCAGTCGACGTAGGCCGTAGGATCTCACCGTCCAGAGGGGCACCTCAGCATCCAACACCGCCACAACCTGTCATAAAACATGCACTACACCTACGGGACTAGTTGTCACGAAGCAACTGCTGCATCAACGCACCTGTGGAGCTGTAGGTCGCCGCCTTGCCGCGGCCTCCTCCGTCCTGCTCCGCGCTGCCGCGCTCGTCCTCGTCGTGGTCGAACTGCGAAGCACAGCGCACAGTCACCTTCATTCCGCCCGCGAGCAGCTCAGCGCCCGCAGCCAACACTTTTCGCGATTTCGAAAATGCCCCAAACAACGTTTCACACTTTAATTTTTTTTAATCTCTCATAATCTGAGAATTTTATATGCTTATTTTCTTATATAATACTCAATGCACTCAAACGAAAAAAGGCGATATTTAGACATTACCATGCCGACGTCTTTACCCGACTACGCTCCGTGAAGTGACGGAAGTGAAGTACCTCCATACACCACGAGTTCCTGGACGGGTGTCCGCCTGGGAACCCCGGTAACGGTGCCGAATCTCTGGCCGAAGGGATAAAAGGCACTGACTGACTGCGACGTCACGAGACAAATTTAGCGAATGACTGCTCCACATTTACATACGATTTTTTTAAACCTGTGCCGAAACGAAATAGATATACTTAGCCGGTTTTGCAACTAATAATAAAACTAATTGTTCCAAGTATGCTGTATTGCGATTGGATATTGTACTCTGGTCACCATTACGATAGTAGTATGGAGTGATTAATAAAAAAACATTCTTGGTTGTGAAGTTAGGTGAAGAAGGTGATCTCTTTTAAAGGTAATCTACGACGTCTTACATATGAGTAGATGGACGTTAATGACTTGGTAACTGAACAATCAAATTTGATTCTCAAAAATTATTACTGAAATAAATGTTCACAATCATAAAATTTCCCAAATACAAATTCCTGCAATATGATGTGGCATATGTGAATATGTCACATTGTATTTTGTGCGTAAAATTCTATTTTCTGACATACGATTTTAAATTCAATGTGCATTTTTTCCTGCAGCAGCCGCCGCAACTGTCGGTTTGGGGCCTCTCCCCGCTCCTCGCGAAGTGCTGGCGCCGCGAAGGCAACCTTCTCTACAGGCGAGGGTTGCTGCAGGAAATCTTGGACGTTTAATTCAAAATCATACGTCAGAAAGTACGATTTTTTACTCAAAATACTATCAAAACATTAACATATGTTACATCATTGCATTCATCTATTTATGATCCATCTATTGCAAGTGAGAAAAATACGGGGTTCCATTTAAAAAATCAAACATGATTAAGTTTCTCAAAAATTGAAAATATTTCGAACAATATCTCTACAGCACATTACTTGCCTCATGATTCCGCATTGTTGAGCAAAAATTGCATTTCGATACCGGTAAACCTTTAGAAATTATGAGGGGGGCATAGTTGATGGGGCTTCTCGTACATACATGAATCGACTTTTGGCAGACGTGTGGATTACACAAGATTCGCGACCGTAAGCTGAATACATAAGAAACACTTAGCGCCGCACCTGACGGAAGCGCTGGGGACCACGGGAGTCCTCGTGTGTGTGTGTCTCTTCCTCCTCTTCCTCCTCCTCTTCATCCTCCTCCTCCTCCTCGTCCTCTTCCTCCTCCTCCTCCTTGGACGTGTGGCCGTGGCTGCCCTCCGTCTCTTTCACCTGCGCCACAAAGTTGCACTCTCTCTCTCTCTCTTTCTCTCTCTCTCTCTCTCTCTCTCTCTCTCTCTCTCTCTCTCTCTCTCTCTCTCTCCCATGCCCTTAAGGTCTACCTCAAAATTATGAAAAATCGTAAAAATATATATTTTTCAATTTTTATTGAGTCGTATGCTATGCATAATTAACTTTCAAATGCTTCAAAGCATTTCTTTATACGTTTCTTACTTTTTGAGCAGGTTTTTTTAAGCAAGCCGTTAGTGAGTGAACTTCAGATGCACTTTCTCGAATTGGGAATTTTCAGCACATTCATGCACGTCAAACATCATAAACCGTAAACTATATGAGATAACGATATAATTATTTTTGCAGTATGTGACTCATTATTTGTTATAGTGAATGAACGAGAATAGTTAATGTGTTACTAAAAGTTTCAGTTATATGACCTAAAATGTCCACAATAAATTAATAAACAATTACTTTTTCTGAAATAATAAAATTCTGTCTCCTTAGTTTTCACCAATCTAGTTTATTGACTATAAGAGACAATTGTGATTAATTTTAAAAAAAAATATCAAAATATATCAATTTGTTGAGAAAGAGCTATGATGTTTGAATGATGAATTTTGAATATGAGCTATATGAATTTTGGCTAATTATTTTGACAAATAGATTTTTTTATAAATTGAACTCTAAAAGCATAAAGGAATCAGATGTACAAAGAAAAAACACAAAATACCATTTATTCTGTCCAGGTAGACAGTTACAGGCTGTTACGTTTTAAATGTAAGAAATGTCTTGGCCATATTGCGAAAATGAGCCCTTTTTGTCAGTTAACATGTAGTGGAAAATTTCATGTAAAGGAGTTACACATGTCATTCGCTCCGATTTTGGGGTAACTTCTGATGGTCGGCAGGTCACTTTCTGACGAAGTCAAAAAGATTTCATGTGCTACCTGCATATTGGGTTGCCTAATCATCAGGGGAAATGCCACTCGTGTAAGTGGATGGAAGTCCTTTGAAAGCGCTCGCGCGCTTCCACCAGGTCAAAGATTCCCAACGGGGCCGGGGTCGGTGTCGACCCCCTGAGGGTCGACGACATTTTTAAGGGGGTCGAGGCGTCCATTGGGGATCGATATTGAAATATGAAACGACAACTAATTGGTATAATAAAGATCAAGATCCCATTAATTATAAACATATTTACGAATGTTGTTATTAATTTTACATATATAAATTTTCAAAACACTTAATATTACATTACAAATTCGCTCAAATTTTGGATTTTCAATTCATTCACAATAATAAAAATAAACTTGTGCGCAAATATAATCTGTGATTTTGTTGTTTATATTTGTAGGTTTAATAATAGCAATACTCGACCTACTGAGTTACCTGTTACCCTAAGCACGTGAAACCTGCAATACTGAAAGTGCAAAGGTTAAAAAATTTAAAAAATAGTAATGGTACAAAAAATTTAAAAAATCTAAAATATTTCCCAACCTTGTTCATTTTAGTCTAATTGTTATCTAAAAGTCAGTTATGTACAATTATTTGCATTACGATAATTTCGTATGCTGCGTATATTATGAAAAAATTGAAGGCGAACGATGAAGCAAATCATCGTTTCAAAAGGGGACGAAGCAAAAAAGAAATTGGGAACCCCTGCCCTAGTTGCATGATGCCTTCGAAGTGAAACGGGGCGAAGCGGATTGAAGCGGGGCGAAGCGCGGTGAAGTGGGGCGAAGTGGGGCGAAGCGGGGTGAAGCGGGGGGAAGCGCGGTGAAGCGGAGTGAAGCGGAGTGAAGCGGGGTTCGTACCTGTGGCGGCGAGCTGCGGGGCGGCGGCGAGGGCGTGGTGGTAGCGGGAACCTGCGGCACCGGCTTGTTCAACTGCTGCGTGGGCGCCTGCAGCGGCCGGAAGCCCCCTTGCAGGGCGGGGTGCTGCTGCAGCAGGCCCTGCCCCCCGAAGCCACCCAGCCCCAGGGCGCCCGTCTGCCCGAAGGAGGCCTGCGGCGCCTGCAGCGTCGACAGGCTCTGGAGGCCTTGCAGCCCGTACGACCAGGTGGGGACGCCGTTCACGTTCAGCACCCTGCAACACACACACGCGCGCCATCTTGCTTTCTCTTCTATACTTCTATTTTTTTTACCTAACGCATGTCGTAAATTAGCTGTTGACGGTTTCATTCAATCGGGAGCTTAAACTTTTTAAGTGACGTCACTGTGATGGCATTCAAGCTCCCGATTTTATGACCCCTCAACAGCTGATTTACGTCAAGCGCCACGTTAAAAATATCGAAGTATAATTCAGTACATCTCCCTCTCTTCAACACACGTTGATAAAGTGATTACACTTCCCGTAATAGTCGGTCTCTTTTTTTGAGTCTCTGTCCTGTTTTTTTTTAAGGAAAACGAGACGCCAAAATGTCCCTTTTTTTCTGACAGTGAAAAATCGGCTTAAAGTGCAGACAACAATTTTAGATTATCATAATATATTCCGTTGAGTTTTCGTTATTTTATAAAAAAGTAAGCGCGAGTTAATCGTACGCTAATGTACCATGTGACAAGTGTCTTTCACAGACAATTGAAATCAAGAAGGGAGAGAAATCAAGAAAAAGTCACAATGTCTAGTTTGCTTTTTAAGATCTGGTCACCTTACCCGTTGACTCTTATTGATATTTGACGATGTATGTTGCAATCGGTTACCCGGTGAAATTTTTTGTTGCACAAAAATAGGGCTTTCTACCAGCTTCCGGACGCTAAATTCAAAAGTTCTGGCCACTTCTGACCATTACTCTACATATTGTTTTTTCGGAAGATTTAAGGGTCTTCCTATGTGGATGTCTGCTTCTCTACGAATTATTTGTGGTATCTTTCTATGCAGCCATTTAACTATCTACCTAGTCGTGTAGCAGTCTGTCCATCTACAATTAGTCTCGCCATCTAATCAACCGTTCATCAAAATAACCTTCTAAACATTAAACATCTCTGAATCTATATCTCGCCATCCATTACCGGTCTAGGATCAATTTTATCTCCTGATAAGAGACGTTTTATCTTGGAGTTAATTGAGATCAAATTGGTCGCGAGATTCACCACTTACACGTTACGTACATGTTTATGTTTTTATTTATTTGCATACTTGTAGTGAAAGATCATGTGGGAAGTCTCAAAGGTAGCACATTTAGTAATGTAGTACTTGTGACGTATAAAGTTTGATATTATTTTGGTTTTCACATACTGGAACTACTTTACAGTGACCACACAAATTACGAAATAAGCTTCTTCCGTTTTGGTTATCCTACTCTTCAATATTTCGAATATTATTAAAGTCTATTGAAAAATGGGTACTACCCATTTATTATCGTGTTTGACCGACGTGTTTTGGGCACTGCGATATGGCGGAATGACTTCACTCGCAGAACATGTCATCTCCATCGTGGGCGTTTTGTGTGTGTGTGTGTGTGTGTGTAGCGCGTGCGCTGGACGTACGTGGGGGCCTTGGAGGGCTGGAAGAAGGAGGCGGCCGTGGAGAGCGGCGGCAGCGGCGCGCTCAGGAAGCTCACGGCGCCGGCGCCGGCGCCCGCCAGGGGCGACGCCAGCAGCGGCGGGTGCGGCGCCGCGAACGCCGCCTGCGCCCCCGACGCCTGCGCCCCGCCACCTGCGCACGCGCGCGCCGTCAGGCGGCCTCCAACGCCTCGCGCCAGCACGGCGCGACACCACGGGAAGAGAAAGAGATGGAAAGAGGGAAAGAGACAGAGACAAAGAGAGAATGAGAGAAAGAGGGCAAAGGGAAAGAGACAAATAAAAGGTAGAAAGAGAGTAAAAGGGAAAGAGAGAATTCGAAAGAGGGAAAGAGAAAGAGAGAAAAAGGAAGAGAGAAAGAGAAAGAGAAAAAGAGAGAGAGAAAAAGAGAAAGAGGGAAAGAGAAAGAGAGGAAGAGCGATAAGAAAATATGTACAACGGGAGAGGGAGAGTGAAAGAGAAAGTTGAGAGAGAGAAGAGAGAGAGAGAAAAGAGAGAGATAACTTTTAAAAAAATGCAAAACGTTGGACCGAGGAAAGAAAAATGACACTTCTGTAGTTTCAAACATCCAAACGGCAAGTGTTTAAATCTTAGGGGCGAGTGGGTTTGAAATAGAGTGAAACTTGTCTCAAGCGGTCGCCATCGCTTCCAGAGACTAAAGGCCCATTCACAATGCAAACGTAAACATAAGATAACGCATACACGTAAACATTAACAGAAGTGATGCATTGTGTATGTTTGCACTGTGAATGGGCCTTAAAAGGGTGTACTAACAGCACGTACTTTCTTGCCCGTATTTTTACGTAAAATTACGCAAAAAATACTCAAATTTTGAAAAGCTTATACCTGAACTAATTTCAATATGTGTCTTTAAGGAAAATATTTCATTAATGGGAAAAAATTTATATCTTTAATACAAATATTTTAGTTGTAGAATGACTCAATTTTGGAAAAATCTGAGATTTTAACGAAAATGAAACTTGCATATTTTTCATAAACGTCATTCATTCTACCCAAAAACAAAATTTAATCAAAAACGATGTAGCCATTTTTTTTAAATGTCCCAGGTCATGTAAAGTACCATCCAAAATTAAAATATCGGTTTCAAATTCTAGGGGCCCCGACATCTTCCAGTTCATTCAATTTTTTGCTATCAAGGACCCAAAAAACATGGATTCTGGCTACAACACGTATTAGAGGATTTTTTTCTAAATTTATCTACTGGATTTTCGTATCAACTTTTTCGTTACCAAGGTCCTTTAAAAAGTGTTTCTGCCGGAAATTCCCCGTTTTTTCGTGCAGCATTACGTAACTTTCTTACTACTGCGTAAGCGGTAGCGAGAAAGTAAAATGAACGAACAATGAAGATGTGGCGGTCGAGGTTTGCGTAGGTTCCACCGAGCCAGTGGGAGTGGCGTGGCTCACCTCTACCCCTATGCTGCGGCTGGGGGTGCGCTTGCGGGCGCGGGCGCGGCGTGGTGTGCACGGTGGCCGCCAGGAGCGACGTGTACGCCCCGAAGGCGTCCCCGTGCGCGCCCTTGCCCAGCGTCGAGCCCAGGAACGCGCCGCCGCTGCCGTACAGCGACGGGTAGGAGAAGTAGGCGCTCAGTGGCGCGCCGGGTGGCGAGAAGGAGAAGGCGGCGGGCGTGCCGCTGGCCGCCGGCGACTCAGCCTGCGTCCAAACAATTCAACTCCATTATTAACTTCGTTAAATTCACATTTTGATTGGAGAAGTGATCACCTTTGATCCCCCTATCTGTCCTAGAAGAGTAACGTTTATTCTGAGACAAATATATGTAAATATTTGATGTGCACATATACCACAAAAACTGTTTAACCACTGAAGATTGGTCACATTTTGTTCATAAATACATTAAGGGGCCTAGAACCACAATAGCGGATGTTATGGTGTCACATTGTGATGTATTGTACCGGATGTTTTATTCTGAACCGTGAGCGCTTGCCATAAGATATATATATTATATATTATTATATTATATATACTATTTATATAATATATTTATTTGATTTATTTAATTGTATTTATTTATTTATTTATTTATTTTATTTAATTTATTTTATTTATTAATTTATTTATTTATCTTTTATCTCTATTTATTTTATTTATTTTATTTATTTTATTTTCGTCAATGCAACCCCCATTGCAATGCCACGTAATTAAGGGGATTCGCGTTTTTTAGGAGCGGGGCGACCACGAATTGGTCGGGGCGTGGCTGGACTGGGCCGGGCGAAGCGAAGCGGCGAGTCGCAGAGGGACCGGACAGCTGTTAAGATCCATTCACGATGCAAACATAAACATAAGCATGGCGTTAACATAAAAGTTAGGACTACATCCATAAACGGACTCATTCACAATGCGTTTGCATACACATATCACGTAAGACATTAACTTAAAAGCTTGCAAGCTTCGAGATTCTGCTAAATAAGACATAGGAAATTAACCAATCACAGTACGGTTACTTAAAATCGAGAATCGAAAGAGAAGCGAAGTCGATATACGAACCCAGGCCAAATGGGCCATGGACACAATCGATACCTTGAAATCGATTCTCGCATCCAACCAATAGTAAACTAGAATGTCTCACAGCCAATATAAACCCTTATTTTGCTTACGTTTCTGTTAGACATTGTGAATACTTCAGTCTATCGCTTATGTTAATGTTTATGTCTACGCGCTATGCTAATGTATTGTGAATGGGGCCTTAGGGGAGCTGGATGGTGCTGGGCGGAGCGGAGGACAGTGGCCTGGATCGGAGCGGGACGCGGAGCAGCAGGGCAGGATGGAGAGGAACATTTACGTTCATTCTGTATTAAACAGAATGTCTCAGAATGAACGCTAAAAACTTCTACAGCATCCTCCTGGGTCGAAGATGGAAACGTTGTGCCAATGACAATGTAGTGGAAAATGTATAACGAAGATGCAAATTGGACATTTGCTCTTGATTATTAGACAACTCATCTTAAACGTATTGCGTAATGAGATATTCAAGAATCTCTTTGAGTGCTTCAGATCGTTTGTGTGCTAAACAACAGAGCAATATGAGTAGTCTAGCAGTGAGGGGGAAATGAAGTGTCTCATTGCGTGCTTATTGACAAATCATTATCATCTTCGACCCTCTACATTTCCTTGAAGTTTGTAATATTTATTCTGAGCTGCGCATAAAAGATGGGACATGGATTATTCATTCCCTTTCGCGTGTGACAGAAAACCGAAGGGAACGGTGCCGGCAGGGTCGCCGAGGTCGCCAAGGCTGAATGCAATACGTTTAAGATGAGTTCTCTGATAATCAAGAGCAAATGTCAAAAGTGTAACTTCGTTATACATTATCCACTACATTGTCATTGGCATAACGTTTCCATCTTCGACCTAGAAGGATGCTAGCTGCCTCGTGATTGAAGGGTCGCGGGTTCGTATAACGTCCATGCCATGGATTTTGTGTGTGTACGTTGTATAACGTTACAGTTAGCTCCGTTACAATAGTCGCTGTATGACCTATGGAAACCGACCTTAAGGGGGTTACGTTCGTGGCGCTAGTCAAACACTCGGCTATTTGTTACATCTTCAGATTAACAATAGCTGCTTGTAAACGTGAACGGAGCATTTCAATATTTATTTGTAAATAGTTAAAAACAAGTATTGAATAGTTGCTCGAGAAAAATAATGTTTACACGTACATCTAGTCTCTTTATTTTTCGCATTATTTTTCCATTTGCAAAAGTTGGCAATACCTAATATGGGCTCGGTTGACTTCAGTGCCCGTACTTTTCTTTCTTTCTTCGTTGAATATTAGTCCATATTATTTATACTGGATGTGAATCATCGACAAATAGTTTGTAGTTGTGAGTGGTACAAAATTTTAAGTTATGATTGTTTTATCTCGTAGCCGAAGAGCATGATTTATACAGCATAACTCCTAGTCCGAGAGCCAGGTCTTCCCGTTGCGATGAATTTCGCAGCAGTTTTTTGTAATAAATTACTCCTCAGAATGGCTGGTGAGGTAAGTTACATTTAATACCATCTGATTCCTAAAAATATTTACTACGTACAGAATAAAATAAGAAAGGACTTACACCGTATAACGTTTTCAAAAAAATTTAAGAACCTACGCCCGCTTTAGTTTTTTCCACAAAAGCCTGTACTAATTTATACTTCTTTTATTTAAAAAAATATGCCAGTAAGGGTCAATTTGTTTCTTACCATTTTGAATAACAGAGATTTTGTTTTTATTTCAAGTACTTTTTGGAGATACATCACCGTGGCCCACCTAAAGAACATACTACTATAAATAATAATAAAAAAACAAAAGGGGTACGTCACCTGCGTGGAGGCGGCAGCCGCGGGCGCCGTCGAGGGCGAGGGGGAGGGCGAAGGCGATGGCGCATAGAGGCTGCTCCCGCCGCCGCCGGCGAAGGCGCTTAGCGAGGAGAGGGAGAGGGAGAGGGGGTAGCTGGCGGCGTGCGCATGCGCGTGCGTCTTGGAGGGGTGGGCGGAGGGGAGGGCGTAGAGCGCGGGCAGAGTGGGGTAGGGCGCCGCCAGCGACAGCGTCTCCGCGAAGCCCCACGTGGGCGCCGCCGACGGGAAGGCGCTCAGCTGCTGCGGGACACAACCACCAACACAACGCATGTAAATTGGGGACCAGAACGAAATAAGAGTTTAACTCGCATGTAAATTGGGGACCAGAACGAAAATTAGAATTTAACCTATGTGTAAATTGAGGACCAGAAGGAAAATAAGAGTCTAATGCACTTGTAATTTGGTGGCCAGAAGGAAAATTAGATTTTAACCCGTATGTAATTTGGGGACGAGAAGAAAAATAATAGTTTAATCCATATGTAAACTGAAAACCAGCAGGAAAATAAGGAGTTTAACCCACATGCAAATTGAGGACTGACCCAGGAATGGGTATATGTAAATTGAGAACTGACTACCTCATCCTCTTCCAGGTAAAATGTGGAGGGAGTCATTTTAATTTCAAAGAATATTTTCAGTGTCATTATTTTTAAAACATCTCTCTTCTCAATTTTCCTTGCTTAGGTCTCGCGTATTTCGGTACGGTTTCGTTAAAGTTTGTTTTCATTTAATTGAATCATTCATGTATTGAATGAATTCTGCTTATCTTGCCATTTTTTATTCTATCTTTTTGCTGCTGATATTTTATAACGGTGAACATTAAATTTGGGCACTCTTCTAGTGCTTTCTTTGCTCTTTAGGTGGAAATAAGAGCGAGAATGGAAGATTTTCAAAGGCACCAGCTGCAGAGCAGCGCGGCTGCGGCGGCGCCCTTAACGCGCTTACCTTCTCAATCAGTGCCTTTCCTTACGTGGGTTGGTTTGGTCCGCAATTTACATGCAAAATTAGTAAGTAAGTTTCGGAGAAACGTTGAAGGGGTTATTTGGTCTCCAATTGACATATAGCTGGCTCAACTATGGTGTTGGAAACGTGGTAGGGATGTACACAAGCAGGGTTGTGCTTGTAGTATTTGAAATGTAGCATTTTGGGGCCCTTGAGCGTATGTTAATTTGGGGACCCCAATTCTTGCTTTCACATATCTCTCTCCCTTTTTAGATGCTCAAATATTACAATAATTCTAGCAATTCACATTGCGTTTTGCAATTTCAAAAAAATTAAAAGCATTTCTTAGAACTTCAATTTAACATTATTCAAACGAAAAAATTTAAACATATATGTATAAGTAAGTAAGAATACCATATTTATAACTGCATTGCAAAGTATTACAAATTAAATAGTTTTAATTTTTTATTGAACTATGCAATATAAAATTGCAATGCATCAACCAGAAACATTCTATATCACACATATTATTAAATGATGTTCGACACATCACTATATTTTGCCAATTTTTTGCTTAAAAATTAATTATACATAATATTTTTATAGTTTTTTTTATTTTATTGTTTGAAAAAATTAGAATTAAATATTTTTATGTACTATCGGGGGCACTAGACCAGAGCCCACCGGGCCCATGCGTTAACACGACACTGCTCATGGGATCTAAAAGTGATTTGAAAGGCGCAAAAATATATTTCAATGGGAAGTCTTTAACAAGTGATGTTTCTACGAGATTAAGTTATTCAACAGCTAATTCATTTTCGACAATAACTTTTTTATTTTGGTAATAGAGTGTTTTTGAGCATTGACTCTGAAAGATAAGCGTACTAGATACAAAGATAAGCTATTGTCACGTGACGACCGGAACATTAATTACGGTCTCTCCAGTAAACATAAGCGTTAACCGGGGACGGATCCGTGAGTGAGGCTTCGAAACGTGTACCGAATCGGTTGCCGGTTATACTTTGTTTGGTGTTTTAATGTAATTTAGAGAAGTAAGATTGATCATTGCGGAAAAGCCGACTGCAGTTCTCTGCAAAACATGACGCACGCCATTAAAGAAAGCGTTGATAGCCTGGGAGAACGAATATTGATATTCTTGTGGTTTGCCAAGCAGGGAAGCCCTTGAAAATATTCAAAGTTCAAGTCAATTCAACGTTCCAAATTTTACAGGTTTTATATTTCCAGGTCCATTTGGTTCTAAAATTTCGTGCATAATTGCATTTTCTTCATAATCTATATCAATAATTCCATGTACACATGCTTCTATTAATGTTCCATTGCAGGGAGTAACACATCACCAGAGAGTAAAAAGAAATAATCACGAGCTTGACAATCGTTTCTTGGTGTATTCACGAAAACAAATGTTTACGATGTAAAATCGAATTTCTAAGTTGAAACCGAATGTGGTGGAAATCATCCATCCATTGTCGTAACCATCACAGTTTACAAAATGTAAAAATCGATAAAAGAAATCGGAAAGACACCAAACTTATGTTTTACTTAATATTGTTGCTACCATACATCAGCCCCGTAAATCTTGTGAAAAAACTCTCTCTTTGAGCTTCACACAAGATTCAATGTTTCGTTATTTAAAGCCGTTAAAGTTAGCCGTTTCGGTTAAGTGCGAAAACTGTTATATTTCCACGTGATTTACTTCAGGCTAGCGACGCAGGTGGCGCGCCATGTGGCGACGCCTGAATGTGCACGAAGAAGTTAGGAATATTTTTTACGAATGATGATTAAAAAGAGAACCAAGCCACGTATTACTAGTTCATTATACATTTCCAGGCGGAAGAATTAGGAACTATTGTTGTTTTGAAAGTGAGGACCCGCCGATGTCTAACGGTATATGACCAATAATTCTAACTCCAGCCAAGACTGCCCGCGAAAAAGTGCTTGTTTTTGTTTCTCTGAAGCCTGCGAAAAAATCAAATCCACTTCCCTATGCAAGAGTGCGTTCTGGCAGTAAATTAATTATAAATAATGTAGTGAACTATTGTTGCGAGGAAAGGAAAAAGTGGTTATTCATGTCATTAGAAAGACTCAAGACAGAGCTGTAGTACAATGCACTTTGACATCGACAATACACGATATTCATACAAGGAATGGGCAATATTTTTATTTCTCCTTTACACTACCTATTACACAATAGTTATGTTCTTGTCCGCTTTTACTCTGCATTATTCTGCCATGGGCGGCTCTATATCCCGCTCGCCGCCCTCTATATCCTATCTAATTGATCATTATCTACTGTAGACGTGTGATTCTCGTTCAGTCGGCGGTGCCTCACGCAAAGAGATCCCAACGAGCCGGCAGCAAATGTGAAGTGAACGAGTAATGCATTAAAGTTGAGCTTAGTTCTAAGTGAACCAGTGCCCGTTCTGTTCACTTTCAATTAAGCGCGCAAAAGACCAACTTGAATCAAAGAATTATCCGTGTAAATAATACTTCTTCAGATATTAGCTTTGAATTTTTATTCTTTTGGATTCCAGTCCAACAACATAAGTTGGTTTCATACAAACATTCTCGAGTTCGTGAATCACAAAACAATAGGGAGTTCCACAACAGTCCCAAAGTTTGTAAACGATTTCGATATGGTTGCGATTCATTACACACACTCTTTAATTTAATTTGGCAAAAATAAGTGTCGAAACAATTATTCACTGATTAAACGAAGTGTACCTGCTGAGTTTTGTCCGAGATTTGCGAGGGTGCTGCGCTCTGTTGAGGGCTGTCCGAACTGGAGGAGGATGTCACTTGATGCTGCTGCTGCTGTGGCTGCTGCTCGGATGAGTCAGTGGGCACCGCCAGCGCCATCGCACAAAAGGCGGACGAGAGGAGAAGCAACACTGTTCGCGGCTGCTGGAAAGAAAGATCGGATTGATTTATGTTGAGTTTCGTGCGCGGAGTCATCATATATAGATTTTTTTTAAACGACAGAATTTGTTAAGATGAGTTCATTTGTACACGGTACACATTTATTATAATATATTTCAATGTGTTTTACGATAATGTTAAAAGTTAGAAAATTTTCATTTAGGTAATTTATAATAATTTATGTTTATATTCACATTAGATTCCTGAAGAAAGGAAAAGTACTTATACTTCTATGTACTTCTAAAAAAACGTAGAGATATGAAAAAATTTTCAAAAATATATCAGAATATATCAATTTAATTTCAGTCTAAATTATAGTTTTTTATTAATTGTTTGGTTTTCAATATGTATCTGACTGTCTAAAATAAAATCTGGCAAACATTTAATGAAATCTCGATGACAGTCTGAAAATAGTGAAGAATATTATAGTTAATTTGTTGCGAAAAAAAGAAAAGTTGTCGTTCTAGACGAATGGCGGAAATGCGAAATTTTGTTTATCTGTGGCAAATTTGATGCGAGCAGGTTCAGCAAAGAAGTGACAGTAGACACACGCATTCTACCACATACCTGAAAATGTTTAATGAGTGAATTGTGGATAAAATAGAACCAACTGTGTAGGGCTAACGAGTAGACAAGATGACTAAGACAGTAGTGACATGGCGGTATTCTTCGGAAGGATCGTTGGTTCGAATCCCGCCTCGGGTATTGTTGTGTGCTTCGTGATAGTGTGTGTTGTCTAAGTGCAATGTGCTTGTGTGTCCCCTGGACATCTGGGCATCCGACAGTTAAACATCGCCACATCAGGACACAAGAAGCGCTGGCCCCGTAGGCGGCTGGTAAAATGAAAGGATGAATTATCCATCTTACATACTCCTACCAAGTGTATTGCTAACGCCTCGACGCACGGGTCGATGAAATACTAAATCAACGTCGATTACGTACTACAGACGCGACATCGACAACAAAACATCGATGTTAGCAATGTATTTAAGCGGGATCAGTACCTAACACTAAATTCGTGCACAACAAAATTTAAATTGACAGTGGCCGTTTATATTAATTTATAATTAAAATTTAACGGCAAAATAATGTTACGAAATTCCCTTCAATGTGCGATATGCAAGGAAAGACAAACAACACACCAGGTCATGTGGAGGTAGTGTGCTCTATTCTACAAATCACGTTTGTACAAATCATGCTTGAACACCTAAACTGACAATGGTAGAGTTAATTATTATTTCATATTTAACTTTTACAAAATTGAGATTGTGGCAATCTTTTAGCATCGAAAACGCAGATACATCGATGTTCCCAAAATATCGGATTCAATATATCGATGTTTAAAATATCGAATTTTTTATAGAAACATCGATGTTTTGAAAACATCTGAAGTGAAACCAGGGCAGCCAGCCTCGCCGCGGGCGCGATTCTTTTTAGTGCCCTGGTATCAAAAAAGTGAATAAATCCAGTTTCTAAATTTAGATTAAAAAATCCTCTAACACGTGGTGTAGCCACAATTTCTGTCTTGTATGACCTTGATACTGAAAAATCGATTGACGGCAAAAGTCTGTCCGTCTGCGAACAACGCTAGCCAAAATTGATATTCCTCTATCGACCTGGCTGATGTCGCGGCACGATGAATTTGAAACCGACATTTTAATTAAATTAACAGTACATGAAACCCCTGAGACCTTTTACAAATTTTAAAAAAATGGTTTCATCGTTTTTTTTTATTGAATTTTGTTGTTGAATAGTGTGTAGGACATTTAAGAGAATGGTGCAGGTCTCATGTTCGTCAAAAACTCTGATTTTTCGAAAAAAGCAAAAGTTCAAAATTTTTTCGACGTCTACCTACAACTCCAATTATGAAGTTGGATATGTTTCCCCTTAATCGGACATATTCCGTTGAGAAAGATACTTTACACGTAATTTTGCGTGGAAGCACGTGCCATTTTTAGCACCACTAGTGAACTACGTGACTGGTCCGAAGCCCTTAATCCATACAACACCTACATCGCCCTGTCGCGCGGAGGCAGTGGCCATAGCTTCCAAGCTACTGGACGTACCTGCATGGCTGCGGCGCGCGCGTGCGTGGCGTGGCGGCGGGCGGCAGCGGGAGTGCGCCGAGGAGCAGCGCGCGCGCGTTTTAAAGGCGTCGCCGCCGCCCCTCCCCTCCCCCTCCCCGCGCCCGCTGGACCTTCACCTGCAGCTCACCGCCGCGCGGTTGACCGCCGCTGGACACTTCGCGGTCGCCCCCCCCCTCCCACGGGTCGGCTTCGTCCGCACAGCCGCTGACGGGCACCGCCGCCCACCGCCCACCGCGGGCGCGACAGACGCGCCTGGGCTTACGCTAGTGATGCGACGGCGATAACAAAACAGCCGTCTTGGCAGACAGACATTTTCATAATGCATTGACTAAAAGACATTGAGGTTTTTCAACTTCGATTATTTCAAGCCGGTTTAGTCACATAATATTCATGTTTAACAAAATTAAATTAGACACTTTTCGTGTTTATCAATTCACCGAATAAAGATATGACAAGGGGCAGATCCTACGCCTTCAGCTCATTTGTTGACCAATTCTCAATATGCGAAATGAATACGGAGAAAGAGGAAATATAAGGACATGAGGGCCATCTCGGGCGAGAGAGATTGTCGATAAAGGTAGTACAAACAGGGTCCCTTTGCTTGCAAAAAATGAACTAACAATGTTACCATCAGTAATAGTTCATATTATTAACTTTTACAGTATTGTGATCGTGAGAATTTTTCATTCAGAGATAAAACATCGGGAGAGAAAAAAGCTCGATCACAAAACGCCGATGTTAAAAAACATCGGCGTTAATACTCGATGTTTAAAAAACAACGATGTTTAAATAAATCGACAGCGATGTTGCATCCGTATGTTAGACAAGGCATTACCTACACTGGCAGAAATGCCGTTAAACCTCATGTAGATTAATGTATTGTAAATTAACTTAAATGCTACCTTACGCATTAAAACCCGGGAGAGGTGGCTGAGGGTAACAACCGACGTTACTGGGGTGCCTCTGACCGGGAGGTCTTGTGTTCGAGGCCCAAGGGTGTCAGGATTTTCGGCACTAGCAAGACGGGGAAATCAGTTGCTGTCTAGAGGAGACTTCTCGAGGGCGGCTGCTCTGGTCGGTAGTTTCCCGTGGTTTCTCCAATCAACACCAGGCGAATGCCGGAGCAGTTTCCTCACAAACGAGCCACAGACCGCGCGCGATGTGACCTTCCTGCTCCTTGTCCTACTCTCACATCTTACTTACACACACACACTTATATGTGTTACACTACCGCCCACGCCGAGAGACCGGTCGGGAGGTTAGAGCTTGTTCCAGCTGAGGCGGTGCTTCCCTGGTGAGAGATACCTTGTTGGGGAAATCCCCACTAGCCGACTTGTAGGTTGGCGCCGGATCTCACCATTCAGCGAGGGAAGATCATTGCCACCTCCCGAGCAAAACATGCTCTACACTTAAGGGACTAATATCCTACGCCGTCGACGTGTCCGGTTTCACTAAATAATAAAAATGTGTCCGTTGAAAAGAAATTAATATATTTTACATTAAATTTAATGCATAAATTAAAAGCAGTGTAGATTTAATGTAAAGATTCTCCCGTTTCCCCTGTCTCTAATCATTCATCATGTATTCATCATCCCCAGCCCATCAAGATATTTTATTCTTTCCTCTCAGATATGACCATAAAAATTTGATTATTGCATCCTAATGTACATGTGTACATTACATTTAATGTGCGTTCGTGATAATTACTCTAATGTACATTTCTTTACAGTGATGAAGAACTTTCTGTCAGCGTACCTTTTTCGTTCATTGCCCCCTTTTCAAAGAATTATGGCTCCATCGACCCCCTCATATTATTTACTGTAATACAAAGTGTGTTCAAAAACACCAAACTAAGCTCCCTTCTCGCAAACTGGTTGAATTATCGAAATGAGACATATTGCGACATTTAGGAGAGTCCGTGACAATTAAAATGTCAACTTGTACGTCTCACAGCAGTGTATTGCATCCGCGCTATAGCAATTCTTCTCTACGTAGCTATTCTTGTCTGAGCCTGCGTAGACCTGTAATGGAATTGTTGGGTCGGCGGTGATGAACAAGCTATAAAAGCAGCGTGTGTGGGTTCAATTGTTATTTATGCACCAAGAATGTTATAACGGTTCTAACGATCGAGGGCCTTTGGCTCGAGGGTTTTTTGTCGCCCGAGATCATTAGAACCAGTTAACGTCCGTGGTACATACGTAATTTTAATGATTCATATGTACTTATTTACTAATTAATTAGTTGTTAACTTGACTCGACCTTTCTCTTCACTTCTCCCACAAATAAATCCCTTTCATAATTACCTCCGTAATAGGATATACAGCACCATTCAATGGTTTTCATATTTTCCTAGCAATCAAAATCCTTTCGATCCAGGTAAGCTATAGAACTCGCATTGAAGGCAATAACAAGCAATGAAGTATCAGTAAAAATAAGTTTGTTTTAATGCCGGAGAAAGTGCTACAGAGACATTCAGATTTATCCAAAAATCTTTTGGTAATGAATCTACGAGCCGGTCCCAGTGTTTTGAGTGGTATAACCAATTTAAATCGAAAAGAAAATCGATCTCTCTCTGACCAAAGGATGCTTGAATGCCTCGGTCCAACGTGAATTTCATGCTCCTTGCTTTTGTGACTGGCGAGAGCTAATTCCTAAGGATAGGTTCCTCATGACAAACAGTTAATAAATAATTCTATGTGGAGATTTTGAACTGGCTAAGGCACGCTGTTGTGAGGTAGAGATCTGATTTTTGGAAGGATCGAAAATTCAAACTCCACAATCGCAACACTGGTAGAGCGTAGCTCGTACAGAACCGTTGTGCCAAAGTGACAAACCATGACAACGCGCCGGCGA